AGGCTGTTTCTGTGTTGTGGGAAGGAGCAAAGCTGGGAAATAATGACTCATTCCAGGACCTTGGAAAGGAAGGGGAGGTTGATGTTGGAGTGGTAGTTGGAGAGCGGGGATGGGTCCAGGGAATGTGGATGAAGGTGATGACGGCTGTTTTTAAGGGGGTGGAAATGCTGCCAGTGGACAAGGAGAAGTGTATGATGCCTGTGTGAGTAGAGGGGCAATACGGTGAAGCTGGGAGGTAAGGAGAGGGGTAGGGATGGGGTTAAGGGAGCAGGTGGTGGGCCTCATATGGGTCATAGTGGTGGTGAGAGAGGAGGTGGAGACAAGTTTGATTTTGGTCTCGAGGAAGTTTAGCATCTCCTCACAGTTGAAGTTGGAGAGGATGGGCGAGGCGTGAGAGGGTGGGCAGAGGACCTGGTTGGTAGTGAAGAGGAGCCTGGGCTTGTCCTTGGCCTCCAAGATTATCTTGGAGTAGAAGAACAATTTAGTGGAGGCGAGGATGGAGGACTTTAAAAATAACTGATTGATGCCCCTTAAATTCTTGGATACCAGCTGAGCACTAGATGCTGCTGGTGTAGTAACAACAACAACAAGATTACATTTGAATAGCGCCTTTCACGTCAGGAGATGTCCCAAGGCGCTGAAATCAATATGTAGTAATCAATATGATGAGAATAGCAGAGCATTCAATTTAGAGCAAGGTTGAATGTTTTTGTGTCCATAAAATCAGACACAATTCTTCTTGAAACTGCAATAATAATTCCCATAAAAATTCTCAGCACTCCCAATGTGTGTGAGAAGCTCAATACCAATCATTGTTTCCTATCTATTTCCATTTTGTCACTAATCCCTTTTGCTCCTTATAATCATGAACAGAATCAGGTTTTCTTTGACCCTAACATTCTTTGGACATTCACTTCATGGCTATTTGTGGGACGTTGCTGCATGCAATTTGGCTGCTGCTCTTGCCTATAAATAGCACAATAACCACACTTTACATTAAATCTTGTGACTTGCTCTGAGATATTCGCACGACTTGTAATATCAAATTCGAGGATAATTATTATTTTGACCTGATAGTGTTTAATCTCTTCAGCTTTAGAGTGTTAAAATGCATATTGTTCAAACTAGGTTATTATAGATTTGAAGATATGTTAAAAAGTTTAAAAAAATGAAGATATTGTTAAAAAGTACTATCACAAATATGAGGTGCGCTGATGATACTGAAAGTGGTTATTGAGATTTAATACAGGTCATTTATAATTTATTTAGGTTATCTGTGTATTATACAATCATATAGGCAAGTCCTCTGCAATGAAAATATAAATTAAAATTGTCATTGCTTCCAGTGATCATTGTAATTCAAAGGTGTATATTAAATCTATGGTTAAAGGATGATTGAAACAACTCCATCAATGCAGTATTGCAATGGTGTGTCAGTCTTGACTAAACGCCTTTCCACATGTTGGGTTTGAACCCTCCGTTTTCTGCCCTAGAAGCAAGAGTATCAGTAAATTCACTTCACAGAATATTCGTGATAAGGCGCTATATCAAATGCAAGGATTATTATTATTATCTCCAACTGACATCTACACAGTTCAATGATTAAAGTTCTTTTAAATTGCTTCTGTTTTCCTATTGTTCACAGAAATTACCAATTTAATCCACATTATTGGATTTGTGATCTGTAGACATGTAACTTCATGTTGTTGCCCATCTTCTATTCATCACAAGAATGAAACATCAATAGAGTACTTGTAGGTATCAGAACAAGGAGACATGTTATGAAACACGACAGCCTATTTTCAGACTTTAAAAACATATTGGGTTAAGTTGGGTGATAATGCTAAGCTTTTTCTAGTTTATTAAAAATATGGCTTGAGGCTTCAATATTCATTTTAAGATAGTGGTGGTTTCATTAATTAAAGAATCCTATTTGAAATTGACCCCAATTCGAAGAAAGAAGATGTGACAAATACAAATATGTTCTTGAAATGTTTTTTTCTCACTGTATTTTTGTACTAAAATATAATTTAAAAATCCCAATTAGTGTAAATAATTCACTCATGTATTCAGATTCATTCTTTTGAGTACATCCCCAAAAATAACATGCTTTCTGAATTTTTTTTTTGGCCAGCCAGGGTTAGGGTTAGGGTTTGACATATGCGCAAAATATAATAAACTCTTAGGAATATCCATTACAAATGAAAGTCCACAGAAATATGCAATGAAACTGTTCAAGGTGTACTGCCTCAACATAGTATTTAATTTAAACATGTAGCTCAATTTTCGTTGATCACTTCAACAACAACAACATTCCACTTGTATAGCGCCTTTCACATTGGGAGGACGTCCCAAGGTGTTGAAATAATTCAAAAATAATGATTTTGTTCATTGGGATTATCTATAGTTCAGTACTACTCAAAGATCCATTAAGGTGTCAGATCATCTTGAAGATCTCTTTTGAGGTAATGCAGCACTTCCCCAGTGCTGGGAGAATGCTGCGTTCTTGGAGGTAAATCTTTCAGGTATGATTAAATTCATGTTAGGGCCTGTCTCTCTATTTAGGGGATTATTAAATATCCCATTGCATTATCTGAAAAGAGAAGTGGGTTTCTCCTGAAGTCCTGGCCAACAACCACACTTCCCAAATAAAATTATTCATTCACTTCGTAGCTGTTTGTTAGACTCTGTCGTGCACAAATTAGCTGCCACATTGACCTGCAAACATAGTCATTAGTTTACTGGACACAATACTTCTTTTGAAATGCTTTGAGATGTCCTCCTGACATGAACAACGCAATATCAAATGTAAGGATTATTATTATGTATATGTTCCTGTGCATACACAAACCCAAACTGCAACAACAACAACAAATTACATTTGTAAAGTGCCTTTCATGTCAGGAGGATGTCCCAGCAGTCTTCCACCTGAACCCCACTCTCAGATTATCTGAAGGTTGTCTAAATCCTTTAAAGATTACAATTGAAATACTATCAAATTGGACATTATTAAAAAAAAGGTAAAAGGACTGAAAATTCCTTCATTATATGCTTGTGGTCTCCAGGGCAATGTTATACCATTTCCGCGCCTCATTTTTTTGTACATCATGAGCTGAAACACACAATTAATTCTCACTCTCCAGCTATTAATCCTCGACTACTTTAGTAATTATTTTTCCTTTAACAGCACACATGAAACATGCATAACTTTCAATAATATCGTATTTAATAAATGTCACTCTGTATATTTATGTTATTATAATTCAACAACGCAACATTTCATCTGGAAAAAGTTCCTTTATAATGAGCCGATCCGTGAGAGGTGATCCATTATCTTGTTAAAAAAAAACAGATTAATGGGAACAAGTTGGAAAAAAGAATGGAGTGTTAACGTATGGTGAAAGTCTGTGTTCTTCAAAAAGATGATTGTCAATCAAAAGCATTTGCTGAATTTGCAGTTTTAACAGGTCAAATACACATTGTCGCATTCTAAGGATGTATTTGAACAACAACAACAACAAAATTACATTTGTATAGCGCCTTTCACGTCAGGAGGACATCCCAAATCGCTGGACATCATTGAGGCTATAATGAATCGCCTAGTATATTTTATATTCAAACAAAAAACTTCAAAATGGTTTGCCGTTGACATAACTACTTGGTTAGTATTAATATGAGATATTCATCCACCTCACTTAATCTACTAGGTTATAATCACGGACAGTCAGATGCTTCATATCCTGCTGGAATACAGGGGAAATACCACGTATGTACAGGGTAAATATCAAATTGGATATTTATCTGTGGAACCACAATGATGCTCTATGTTTTAAAGGAAACCAAAGCATCCAAAGTGTGTTGCCCATGTTATCTTACTGCATAAAGTTTACGAATCTACCAGCTCAATGTGTAATTTTCCAAGATGCTGGACTAGTACCGCTAAGTATTAGGATAATATCAACTTGCATCGGATTTGGCCAATGTATGATTTGTTCCTGTTTAAGACCATTAGTTTGGGTGCACCTCACTGGAAGATGTGAATGTAGGCTGGAACAAAACTAAATGCATTCCCAAAATGGTAGGTTAGCAAGTATTTAAAGCACACTCAACCTCATGAAGCCAGTCAGGAACCTGGGTATTTTGTTTGACCCTGAACTATCCTTTCTCCCCCACATCCGGACCATGACCGGCACTGTCTACCACCACCTCCACAACATTGCCAGATTCCACCACTGCCTAAGCCCTCAGGCTGCTGAAACCCTCACCCATGCATTTGTCACCTCAAGGCTTGACTATGGGAACTCCCTCCTCATCGGCCTTCCCAACTCTTCTCTTCACAAGCTGCAGATCATCCAAACATCTGCAGCTCGTGTACTCTCGCTCACCAGGCTCCGTGACCCCATCACTCCCACCGTCGCCTGATTCCACTGACTCCCCATCCCCCAGAGGATCGAGTTCAAGATACTCGTCCTCACCTTTAAGGCCATCCATGGCTTTGTCCCCTCCTACCTCTCTGACCTGCTGACTCCCTACCAACCTGCCCGCTCCTTCCGTTCATCGGACTCAGTCCTGCTCCATGTCTCTCACCCGACCCGCCCTACCATCAGTTGCCGGGCTTTCAGCCTCTCTGCCCCCACACTCTGGAACTCCGTCCCTTCGCCTCGCTTCCTCCCTTGCCTCCTTCAAGGTCAGTCTCAAGACCTTTCTCTTCGACCGTGTCTTTGGTCTCCCTCCCACCTCTCTGCCTTCCCTCACCCCTACACTCCCCCCTCCACCATGCTCAGGCCCCGACACCTGACTGTTCAGCGCTTTGGGACTTCCTCCCGACGTGAAAGGTGCTCTATAAATGTAATTTTGTTATTGTTGTGTCTCATAGATAATATACTCATTGCACCAACGACATTGGAATGATCATATCACACTCATCATATCAGCATTAAAGAGAAAATTCAATACTACATTGAACAGATGTTTTATTCTCCATGCTTAGAGGTATTTACCTTGTGGCTGCCTGGTTTGATGATATATCTGTAGGTCATATGGACGTGCACTGGTTCTCTGAACTACAGTGACATTTTGGCCTGTCCATTTGTTGGCTTTTAGCAGGGTGTTAGTCTTCCAGTCAGTCCAATAAACATCACCTCCAAACAATGTTACAGCGAAAGGATGGGAAAGGTATTCGTGACCACGCAAGACTTCTATCAATTCACTGCCATCATACAAAGCTGAATAAATACCATCAGACCTGCATCAGAGGGAGCAAGAAGTGGAGAAATAAAGAAAGACATAAAATTTTTATATTTTTAGAAAGGCAGTTACTTTTCCAAGGGAACAGTGGGCTGATGTCATGCATTTTGATATAAAAATGAACATTGTTACAATTAATGTTATTCCGTGCATTTGACATAGCACCTTATCAAGTCGAAATATCTCAAAATAGTATCATAGAGTTTTTCAAACTGTAAAGAAGATGGGACTTTGGTTTAAGATCTCATCTAAAGATTATTACCCTCCAAAATGTAGCAACCCCCTGCATTGCTTTGGTGTGTCAGCTTAGACTGTGAACTCAAAGTTCTGGTTTGAACGCACAACCTTCTATCCTAGAGTGTGACCAACTGAGCCAGACTGCCATTGAGGGATAGTTTGATGAGTTTGGATTTAGTCGCTTTAAGACCAAACAAGTTGAACTGTGCAATGATGCTATTTCTCTCCAGGTGGAAATGAATTAAGACAGAATCAGCCAGTCTTGGTTAACTTAGGTGAGCTGTAGCCTAGAAACTGGACTTGGTTTTCTTTCTCTTGGGGTTTTAGAAAAGTACCAAGAACTCTTAACTCAGACTGTTTCATAACTTGCATTGAATTCATATGAATAACATAAGATGTTGATTATCAAGCACAAATACAGTTAATAATGTAATATAGTCAGCTCCTTCAAGAATAACTAGTCTGTGAGTTAGTAGTAACTGAAATTCTCAAATCATCTCCCCTTCCTTTGCGCTTTTCTTTCTGGATAATGGTTTCTCCTTCATGGTCAGAAGTAATTTATATAGAAAGCTAAAGTGGACCATCAATATCAGAGAGAAAATGTTCTCGAAGTCTGGATCACAGGGGATCTTTGACTGTGGCAGAGTGATTTTTGCTCATTTTTAATGCTTGTCATGTAAATAGGCCTTCATTTTTGCACTCTCAGAGAAACTTCTCTCAAACTAGAAAGGTTTAACCCAGATAGAGACCTCTGCTGCCTGCAGGGTGGAAGATTGTTCCAGTTGCATAGCACAGCTTTGCTAAGGTTCTTTGTCAGCAGAAAAGAGAATTTTTCTATTTTGAGAATTATCTGTAGGAATTATAGTGAACTCATCCTTTCTTCCTCTTTTAAATTGTTTTTTTTTGGATTGGAATAAGAATGGAAAGATTATACCTGGACCAGTTTGATTATGTTCATTTGCTATTTTGATTGCAAGCATGAAATTATTCAAATAATAACCGATAAACAGGTTATCCATATACATAGGCAATGGCTATATTTTCATGGGATTAATTTGATCACCAGCTACATCTGCTGTGCACTGCAAACCTAGGATTCCTCAGAATTTACAAACTTGCAAATGGAAAATTGAAGCAAAAGGGAAAAGATTCTGACAATCTCCTACAAATGGTCAATATATTTTGACCACCCAAAGGAGGCATTTTTACACTATTAGCATTTATCAAATACCTGTACTTTATTATTTGCAAGGATAAAATAAAAACCAAAATGTTCCAAAACAGTTTTTTTTTGAACAAAGCCACAGTTAAAATTATTGTTCGATAGGAATGAGTAATTAGGGTGAGGAACAGTGGTAAACTACACATGCGTTTCAGAATGAAATCCTAATCTTTACAAAACAAAAATAATATTTGTCTTACATGGCATCGATCCACACAATTCTGTTCTCAAGGTAATCCACTGTCAGTCCATTAAGCCACCCTTCGGATCCTAGAGCTTTGTGAACTGTCCTCCTTCCTGCCCCACTCATTGAAGCAGCTTCGATGCGTGGAAAGTTAGAATCCCAGTCCGTCCAGAAGAGAATCCTAAGAAAATACAAAATCTCACCAATTCTGATATTGTTTCATGTTGCATGTTAAAACGTAAGACAGCATCGAATCAGGAAAGGCCGGCAAACAATCCCCTTCTAAGGATGATCAAAACAACAACAACTTGCACTTATATAGCGCCCTCCAAGCATCTCAGAGTGCTTAACACTGGCGGAGCCTGACTCCGAACTGGGGTGGAGGGAGGGAGGTGGCCATAAGCACGATCGTAAAAGGAAGATTTTCAAGCCGGACTAGAAAAAGGGGAGGGGGCAAGGTGGAGGGATTGAGGAAGAGTGTTCCTGAGTTTTGGGAGTGTAGTGGCTGAATGTGCGACCTCCAATGGTGGAGGGGAGGGCGTGAGGGACAAGCAGGAGCCCGATGTCAGTCGAGCGGAGGCGATGGGTGGTGGATTAGGGAATGAGGAGGTTGGAGAGGTGCCAGGAAGTGAAGGGAGAAACTAAACCTATCCTGTTGAAGAACTTTGTATCTTCTCACACACAGGTGCAGATGCACACACACACGCACACATGTACTTTGGAGGTAGGGCAATTTCCACCTGAGTCAAGTATTTTCTTCTAATTTCACATCACCATATTGAAACCTGTCCTTCTCTCAAAAGACAACTCCACCTCCTCTGTTAGCTCTTCGAATCCAAACCCCTTCATTACCTGCATAATTATTCTCCAGTAAATAGGTCTCCTCTGTTGACATCATTTCAGAGCCAAAATATTTACATTTATTTAGTATCTTTCACATCCCAACGTGCTTAAAATCACAATATAAGGGATACCCACATGCCTATCAGGAGAACACTAGTGTGTACATGTGAAGGAGGACTCTGCAAATATTACACATAGAGACAAGTGGAGCAGTTTGGAGAGAGGAAGAATTTTTTTTCAAACATTCCAGGCACTTGCAAATCGTCTGAATGGCTGGAGCTAATAGTGATTCCAAATGTAATGAATGTAGAATTTCCAGGTAATCAACTGCAGATCAATACTCAATAGCCGTGCAGTAATGCCATCACCGCCATTAATCCCCTTATGCAAGATTGAGCACATTAGCAACCTTGTCTGCATGAAAATTGCTCAAAATGAGAATTAGCAAATTGAAAGCTATAAAGTAAAATTAGCCAGTTTTATAGTAGTGGTGTTAGATGACCATCCCACACCTCTGGAGCTTTGTGATCCTAATTCATTGCAATTTTCAGATGCCCTCGATTAATTACTGCACCACAATCAATCTCAAGCATTCATGCTCTTATGAATGTTGATAATATCTTTGAATGTGGAAAAAAAGTAAGATTTACTTTAATAGCATGTCTCAGCTGCAGAACAAATGAGGCTCAAACATAGTAGCGTTTGGGAACAGACTTGTATAATATTGTGTTTGACTGAAAGGAGGAATTCATACGATAGTGCACTTAACCATTAACACTTTGTTAGTTGTGTGCAAGCATTACTGGTAACTTTTCAACATTTATTCCTGGAAAACAATTCAAGTGATTGTTTTAGCACTTTAAAATACTTGAACTTTAACCCAATTTGTTTTCTCAGCTAGTTTGGAATTGACTTACCTGGGCTATTCTTTTATCTGACTTTTAGAAATCCTGAAGAAAAGATTAATGAGGTGTAAGGAGTGCAAGTGAGGATTCCATTTCTACATCACCCTACTTGCTGAGATTGTTTTGCTTCCAACAGTACATAAGAGCCCAAGAATGTGCTAGGCGAAAGAAGACGACGGTCCATTTAGTTTGCTTTCCTGACAGTCGCTTGAAATGTTGTGTCCCAAACTATATACTGTATCCTGAGATATTATTTTTTAACAGAAATCTATCTAATTTGTTTGTGAAAGAAATGACATTTTCTGCTTCCACTGACTCCCGAGGGAGGCTGGACCATAAGTTTACTACTCGCTCACTGAAGTACAAACTGGCTATTGAAATACTGACCTTGAAGGTGTTGATTTTTGGGCTACAAATATACAGTCACAACACTTAACAATAGACTTTGCTTTCAATACAAAATATATTCAATTATAACGATTCTATCTTTGTTTGTGTGAGCCTGGTGAGGACCTGTATCAATAAAACGTAATGAGAGTAAACCTTGGCGTTTGGGATGCATTCCCCCCTCTGTGCCACATGAATCAGTTTAAGATATTGAGGGCACCACCGTTTCATATGAAATGGGAGAACTGCCAGTGCCAAAACCTTGAAATTTACTCACTGTGCATAAGCTGTGAACATCTGGAAAAGGCAAAGGAATGTCAGGAGTACATTTATCTTCACTGACTGGACCCAACATACACAAAGGCAATTTATGTCATGTGTTGCCTATTACATAATTACTTCAGCAACATATACCTGAAGGCTAGGCACACCTAATACCAACGTTTATATTGAGTCCCAGCGGTGTAATCCAGATAGAGTGAATCGATGCGTGCAGATTGAGTGGAACTACTTTATTTATACCTCTGGCTCACAGCATGGCAAATCTACAAGACCAATAAATAACATTTCTTTTCTGCCTGCATGCATTTGCCTGCATTTTCACGTTAGGTGCTACGTACACTTTTGCAGTGATCCCCAGAGACAGTAACATTTATATGATATTAACCACCAAACTGGGGTGAAAATCTACATCAGCAGAATTCAAAGCTGCACTAATTCCTCCTTACAAACAGATTCAGACTTACTCACATCAACTGCTTATATCTGATGTACAGTCACCTCTTTTCATCTTATTTTGGTTTCTTAAATCTTCACTTAAGGCTCTATCTTTGTTTTATGACTTCAGCTATGGGCCGGAGGTCAGTGGGCATTGTAGTTGAGTGCATTTTGAATGAAGACAATTTAAGAGATTCGATTGATTTGTAATTATAAAGTTGGAGTTTCAGGCCCCTGATATTCACAGGCATGAACCTCCTTAGGGGGAGAAAGAGCCTTCGTAGGAGCAGATTTGTGCCTTCTTAACTCAGGACACTGAGGCCAATTAATTGTGGCAGCTCAAACGATCACCTAACCCAGCAAGACGGATATGATAAGTCTCTTTTTTTAATACCAGAGAAGCAATTTCTCAAGATCCAGGTGTTAGCAGTAGAATCATACTGGAATTAGTTACCAAACATAGAAAAGAAAAAGGCTGCTTAAAAATAGATGTTACAAAAACATAATCATTAGCACGGTCTGGCAACACATACCTGAAGGCATGTTGGAGCTGAGCCAGTGCAGGCAGGTGCAGGCATCGTGCTCCCATTCATCTCCTGCCTAATTGTCAGTTCCCCAAGACGTATTTGCACAGAGACAGATGCAACAGGCACCAGGCTACATCTGTGCTGTACGTGCGACCCGCTCTGTGTGTGTGTGTGTTGAAAAGTGAAATGTGAAGGGTGCTTCTGAAATGATTTATACGTAATTATTTTAAACAAACATCTACAAGGCAAGGCATGTGGGTACTGAACAGAAATGGTCAGGTACAAAGCGTTTGAGTTTGTTATTTTTTAAAAAAATGAATGCAGGACTGACTACTCATATTATATACTGTAAAAAAATATACTTGCCTATTGGCCAGAACTACATGCAGGTGATTGCTGTTAGTTCGGAGGTACTTGTTTTTCACATGTCCAATAAGTCGGGCTTTATGTTTTTTTAATTAGGTATCAAAGGAGGGATAATTTCTCGAATGATGAGCTGCCACATGATTAGATGTTATTCATTCAAACTCTGTTATTCATTATGAACATTGGCAACTAGACCAGAACCATAAATGATCACATGCACTGTGTTGAAAGTTGTTTATTCTTTTAGATGGCACAGTTTGAACAAGAGCACTTCTGTGCAAATGTAAAGTATCACTTGCATTCAAATCCAGACTGCTTCTGAATTTGTGCCATCATGTCCTGTTTAAGTGCAGGAAAAGGAAATGAAGGGGTGGAGGCAGTGGGACTGGAAAATTTAACATAACCAATAAATCAAAAGGACACAGATTATCTCAGAGGAGGAAAGATGTCCAAACGGGTTTAAATATCCTGCAGAGAAAAGTGGATATGTGTAATATTCTACCTAGGGAGCCAGTGAATGCAATCTGTGTCAAATGAAAAGTTCATAACAACTTGGTGTAGAAAATGATTGTGGGTTCTAAAAGATAAGAGTGAAGCAAGTTTGCTTACTTGTTTACTGTTTACTTTTGGACTGAGCAGATAGACCTCAATCCAATGGGGTGGGAGAGGAAATTTGCCTCTGGGAGCAATAATGGATAACATTGCATCACATCACATGTTTTGTTCCTATAATTTTGCATATGCTCTCAATGCTTTTGCACTAATTGTTAACGTCTTTGATTTGTAAAAGTACATCGATTTTGAACATATTGATTGCTGTTTGAAGAGGTATTTCAATAATCTGCAAGACCTAAGTGACTTGGAGTACATCAAAAGAACAGTTTATACTACAGTTTAGAAACTAATATAGGGCCCACATCAGCACCATTTCTGACGTTTACTGTTTAACATTTCTGATGTCTGTTCATATTCCATCTCTTTCATGATGTTCCATTATACCACAACTCTCCAGCATGCTTGTGTTGGCTGTTTATAATGCCTTTGACTTCCTCTGTTTTTTCAGCCAATATAATTATACCATGTTCCTTCCAACATTAAGAAAGAACTTGATTGATGATAGTTACCTAATGTGTTCAACGTGTGTGTTGAACTTATGTAAATATGACTTTACTCTTTGGCACTGCCCGATCACCATTTTTGCTCTATTTGTAAAACTCAAAAGCGTGTAGTTCATTTAAAATGTTTTAAAGTCAGTGAAAGCACTCTTTAGGGAGTAATTCTGCTCACCCAGCTGTAAATAGTAACCGTGTTGTTAGTTGATTGGTGGATCGCTTTACTGGAGAAAATAATCCTTTAAACAAACATTAATGTGGTAACGCAATCCACGACTATTTGTGGGACACTGCTGTGTGCAATTAGCTGCTGCGGTTGGCCCA